GTATGCTTTTAATTTTCAAAGCATTGTTGAGAACTTTGCTATGACAGGGCAACAGGGAAAACCTTTGGGTGGCAAAAGTGATCAATCATGGAAAAGAAGTTGGACAGGTCAATAAATATCACACTGGCAAACAGACTTTGATGTATGAGGGAATAACAAACTCTCACTTCTTATAGTGCTGGGCTAAGTGCCTTAACGGGAAACAAATGCATCATTCAATAGACTCTTTAGCTTGGAATTACCATACATAACTGTTGCCGCCACTTTTCATCACTGATGACAGAAATGCTAAGATGGGTCTATCATCAGTGAAGTGAGTGTCCTCATGGGAGAAGATATGACCTTTATTATTCCTGCTTTCCTGTTGTTCATAGAAGGATAATTGGCTCTATATAACTGGCTCTTTCCTGCTAGAGATAACAGCCTTTTAAAATACTGGTGCTGGGATGGCAGGTATTAATATATTGTTTACTTCCTATGTAAAAAAACAAAACAAAGGACATATGCCATACTGAGCACTATGGGGAAGCAATGTGCAATAGGAATAGATGGGCAATATTAACAGTTTTCACTTTTATAAAATATATTGATAGACATAAATTCTCTTCTTATATCTGTTCATCTTTCTTCCTGTGTTATTCTTAAATCACTGCCATTTTTACTTTTGTATTATTATAGCACAGCAGTTATACATCTTAAGCAGAAATAGATATGAAATAGCTTTAGCTGTTTTGTTATATTCAAAATATTTGCAGCCAGTCAATATTATTCAGCAGCCATCCCCTGTGTTCAGGCACTGGATGACAAAGAGAAGGAAAATAAAATGAAATCTAAAGATACTCTCTTCCTATTCTCTAGTTACTTTTCCCTCACTCTATAGACTTGCTTGGGTTTTTCTGTCTGTATTAGTCTGCTCAGGCTGCTCTAAGAAAGTGTCACAAACTGGGTAGTTAAAACCACATAAACATATTGTCTCATAGGTTAGAAGTCAGAAATCAAGGTGTCTGTAAGGTTGGTTCCTTCTGAGGTCTCTTCCTTCTCTGTCAGTCTACCCCTGTGACCAAATTTCCCCTTTTTGTAGGGACAACAGTCATTTTGGATTAAGGACTTGCCCTACTCCAATACAGTAGGCATTCCTTGACCAATGTACCATGGAGAAGAACAAACCAGTTTGAAAAAGCTTATCCTTGCTACCACATCCCTTAGATGGTGCTAAATTTTCCAGTAACTATGTCTGAAAAGAATGACTTGTGTTGAATTTATTTCTCTTTTTGGTTTAGTTTGTTAGACATATACGTATACTTTTATATGTATATGGTGATATAATTAGCATAAATATATAATGATTATGGTACATATTATACATTATATAGTTATTACAAATTATTGCCAATAAACTGTTTAGAACAATGAAAATCAACTTAACACGGTACAATCATGGCCCTATTTGGATATGACATTGTATTGAGCAACACACAGGAAAGCTAAAAGGCATAGTTAATAGACCTTTAACTTCCATCAAATGGCATTTTAAATATATATATATTGATTTCAGAGAGGAAGAGAGATGGAGAGAGAGATAGAAACATCAGTGGTGAGAGATAATCATCAATTGGCTGCCTCCTGCATGCCCCCCACAGGGGACTGAGCCCATAATTTGCACATGTGCACCCAACTGGAATTGAACTTGGGACCCTTCAGTCCACAGGCAGACGCTCTGTCCACTGAGCCAAACCAGCAAGGGCCAAATGGCATTTTTTAAAGCATTATGTCTCCTGACCATCAGAAAAACATTGTGGAGATGTGAGGGGTTAGTGGCTTCCTCAAGGTCATACAGATGAGTCTAGGTTCAGATCAATGTGCTTCCTACTACACTCCATTACGGCCTCACCATTCTTTAATGAATGGTCCATGATCTGCTGAAGAACTTTATGGGTCTCATTGGTGGGATAAACTGATCTGAAAGATCTTGTAAATATATAACATTCAAAGTTGTTTTGTTGCTTTAGTTTTTCCAGTTCCCAAACCAGGAATCATTTTTGCCCATCCCCTACATTAAATTCTACAGCAATTTCTCTTGGCACCAATATATATCTTCAATCAATCATTTTAGTACACGTCTTAGTCCTGGTCAAGAGTCCTATCTTGCTTGGCTTTCTGTCTTCTTGTTTTCACTCTGGTATGCATTTCTATGAAGAGTAAAATACGTGGAACTAAATTATATATAAAAAAATCTATAACCCTAATTTCAGTAAGCAAATTATTTTAATGCTTTCCTTTGAAAAAAAGTATACATTTACTTTATAATAAAATATTTTCAAAACATATCATGCATAGTCAAGGAACCAAAGTAAAGAATTTGAGGTATCCTTCAGCTATTAGGAAGGTGTTATGTTCTCAAGAGGCACTAAGTTTTTAAATGAGATCAGCTTGGATATGCTTAAGTTTTTTTCATTTGGGGGGATATGGACCAAGTGACTAACCTAAGGGTATGATTTAATTTTACTACATGTGGACTTTACTCTGTAATTTTGATGCAAGGCAATTCAAGATGCAGTGTAAGACTTGTGTCATCTCTGTGATTGTCTACTTCCCACAGCTCCTAATAAATGAAAAGAAAGTGAAAATGAGATTGGCACTGCACCTACTTGCTGTGCAGGCACTGACCAATTCTTGAGCACTGTTGTTTCCCTGTATATTAAAATGAGCAATGCTCTCTCTAGGATACAATTAATCAGTTATCTCAATCTGGTGAATTTTAGCAAACGCAGCCTCTGTATCAGCCGTTAGTAGTTGCTATTGAATAATTCTCTGTCCCTGTAATTTCAGATATTTCTCCCACACTCTTCCTTCGCGATGTGGGAAAGGAAAGTTCCGT